TGATCACTCTCCAGAAAACACCCCAGTGGAAACTGCATGAATGATTGATAAGAGCTGAGAGCTGTTTAATTTTTTCCCCCTGTTTAATGGCTATCAATAATTTAATACGCTCTCTGTATGTTTTTAAGAAATAGCACCCATTTTGCCGTCTCCGGTTTAGCGGGCTAAATGATTTAAGTGTTGGAAACGGGCTCTGAGGATGGAGGTTGAGCGAGTCAGAGGAATCTGGAGCCTGGGGGTGGGGGGAGGCGGGTTCAGAGCCACCAGCGGCATCGGTGGCCTGGGTGTGTGCGTGTGTGTGTGCGTGTGTGTGTGTGTGTGTGTGTGTGTGTGTGAAGGTGGGAGGGAGGGAGGAGGGAGGGGGCGGGTAAAAGCCAGCGCCTCTCTGCTAAGAGCAAGATAATTGCTTTTCCGGGTCTCACCAAGCAGCAGCTGAACAGCTGTCAGCTCGCTGCCCCCCCTCACCCCAATGCTGAGCTTTTCTGGATGACTCTGGGGGGCCCAGGGGGGCTAGAAAGGAGTTTCAGCTAGGACCACTGTGGGCTCAGAATCCCCCCTCCCCCTGACATCTTTGCCCCCTTCTAAAGCTTTTAAATCATTTTTATTTTAATGATGCAGTTCGGCTGCTGCCAGCCGTGGCTTCCAGATGGGGTGGGGGTGGCACTGGAGTGGGGAGCTCAGAGTCACTAATCTCGGGGCCCAAGGGGACCAGGAAGGTCATCTGCCAGTGCTCCCCGAAACTTTCCAGATGCAAAGGATCACCTGGGAGGACTTGTTAAAAATTTAAATTTCTGGGCTCCATTCCAGAGCCACAGACGTCCATTCTCCAGGGAGAGAGGCCTGGGAAGCTGTGGGCTTACCAAGCAGCCCAGGTGATCCTTATCAACAGAGGAGTTTGGGAAAGAGAGAGTCCAGCTCTAGTTCCGACGCTCACAGCACCCACAGCACCACGTGGCCACTCCCTCTGTTGGCACCCCTCTGGGGACAGTGCACGCACCACTCTGTGAGATCGCACACCCACCTGTGGAAAGTGTGCAAAGTGTGCTCCAGTCCAGAATCCCTTCTGCTATTAGGCTGGGCCCACTTAGCTGTCCCCGTGTGTGTGTGTGTGTGTGTGTGTGTGTGTGTGTGTGTGTGTGTGTGTAGTTAACCTCTGCCGCAGGACAGATTCCCTCTCCTAGGCCCTGGTGTCCTGCCCTCTCCCATTCAGGCCATCCCCTGGCTTATCTACGCCTCTCTGCTGGGCAAGGAGCTTCCTGTTGTAGCAAAGCACTCTGGGTATCAAAGAAAACGTCCAGGGTAGCCCGGGCGTGGGGGTGGGGAGGGCTGGGCAGACACCGTCACTGGCACAGTGGGGGCCCGGAGGGAGGCAGAAAGAGACCTGGGCCTCCCAGTCGTCTTCGCCTGTCAGGGGCCAGTCCTGCTGTGGAGACAAAGATGTGACTCATCAGAGATCGTCGACTCAGCCAGACCTCTGGATGCCAGTGAGGGAACTGAGGACTCCCCCAAGGTCACATGTCCATGAAGAACAGAGAGCTGCAGAGATGGCGCGGGGGGCCCAGAGAGGGGCATCGAGGATCGAGGCCCTGGTGCTGGGGGTCATCTGAGACCCCAGTCACCCAAGGGCCGGGAGCCAGGGCCGAGTGGGGGTTCCTCCTCACCAGGCTCTGAGAGAGACAGGTCAATACCTCCAAGGGTTTCGAGTAGAGCCGATGCCCCATCTGTATGGCGTTTCAGCACTTCCTCTTCTTTGCCTGGCCGTTTGCATTGTTTCCGCAGAGATGAACCCCCGACTGCACGCCAGGCTTGCTCTTTTATTTTACTTGATAATTAAGAGGAAACGAGCGGTACGCATTTCACAGGTGTTACCGTCGACTGCAAAATGGGGCACCCTCCCCCCGAGCTCTCCTCCATTCTGTAGACCCTCTCTGTACCCCCAAATTCAGCCTCACCCTCAATCTGTGTGGGAGAAGCCTGGGTCCCGGGAGATGTGGGCATACAACCCATCTTGCGATCAGCACTCCCCCAGGGCCCCGTCACCCCCTGAAATCTGCTCTGGTCTTCGCGATGTCACTCTGGGGTGGGGGGAGGTCTCGTCACCTAACCCTGACAGGGCTCCTGCTTGCAGAGCTCTGAGAGCTGGGGAGACAGAGCCAAAGACTTCTCCATGCTCAGGAAGACTCAGCCCCAGAGAGAGAGCTGTGTGAATCTGGATAGCTGGGCAAAGCCTGGGGCAGTCAGGGAAGGCTTCCAGGAGAAGGTGCCACCTGCCCTCAGGCTTGAATCGTGGAGGGAGGAGGAAAGGCATCCCGGGTGCAGAGGTATGAGGTGGCCCGGTGAGTGTGCGGGGGGAAACACCAGATGAGTAGGGCAGGGGCTGGGCTGGTGAGGTGGGAGGACCAGGGCTGGGCTGGATCTGGTCTGCCCAGGTGGAGGACCCCACAAGGTTTGTGTGTTTTCAGCTTCATCCATGCAGAAGAGTGTGCACATCCTAAGTGTAACTTGACCAACCGTCACGAAACGAACACGGTCACGCAACCACCACACAAATCAAAAAACAGAACATTCCAGACCCCCTAAAATCCCCTGTGTGCCTCCTCCCACTCACTGCTTCCCCTCCAGGGTAATGACTCCTGATTTCCAACAGCATGCTATCTGTTCCCTATTGCTGCCCAACAAACCACCCCAAAACATAGTGGCTTAAAATACACGACCACCATCGATTATGTCTCATAATTCTGTGGTTTCCCTGGGCAGTCCCTCTGAGGAGTCCCTTGGGCTCGCGTGACTCCAGTCACCTGAAGGGCCGGCTGGACTGGAATGGAAAGTTGGTGATGAGCTCAGTCACATCTGGCCGTAGGCGCTGGTTGCTGGCTGGGCGGCCTCCGTACGGGAGACCGGCCTCCGACAGGGCCAAGGCCATAAACTGCGCGCCCCTTAAAGCCTGGCCTCCATAAGTCCTAAAATGTTCCTTTCACTGAATCCTATTGGCCAAAACCAGTCTCAAGTGCAGTCCACATTCAGGGGGTAGAGAATAGACTCTCCCCTCTTGCTAGGAGTTGCTCTGTAAAAGAATGTGCTCCCATATTTAGTCCACCACAAGCACAGAGTAGATTTGCCTGCTCTTGACCTTTCTATAAATGCACCCCTGAAGGGTGTTCTCTAGTGTGTCTGGCTTCTTTTGGTTGTTACGTTTGTAAGATTTCTCTGTATTATCGGACACGGTTGCAGATCATTTGTTCTCATTGCTGTGTGGTGTCCATTCCATTGTATGGATGTGCCAATTTCTCTCTTCTGTGGTTGATGGCCATTTGGAAAGCTTTGGGGCTTTTTTTGGCCATGATGAATCGCGCTGCTCCGAACATTCTAGTACACGTCTTCGGGTGCCCACATGCACACGCGTATGTAGAAATGGAGGGGTGCCTGGGCGGCTCGGTGGGTTAAGTGTCCGACTCTCAGTTTCGGCTCATGTCATGGGTTTCGGCTCACGGTTTCGTGGGTTTGAGCCCCACGCCGGGCTCCGCGCTAACAGTGCAGAGCCTGCGTGGGATTTTCTGTCTTCCTCCCTTCTCTGCCCCTCCCCTACTCGCCCTGTGTCTGTCTCTCTCAAAATAAATAAATAAACTTAAAAAAAAAAAGATGAAGAAATGGAGTTGCTGGGTTGCTGATAAGCACAGGGTGGGAGATACCTCCAAACTATTTTCCAAGCTGGTCGCCAGTGCATGTTCCATCAGGAGTGTTTGGGAAGCCTGCAAAGGCTTTGTGGAGGGGAGTGAGATCTCAGTGGGGCTTTTGGAAAAGTCTCCCCCTGGTTGAAGGTCACTGAGCCTGAGGCTTTCTATAATGTCCCCTCCGGGCCCACCTTGAGCCATAGGCCTCCAGGCTGGGGGACGTAGGGCCATCCGATCAGATGGCCTGGCTGGTCCCCCAACACTCAGGGAAGCTGGGTGCCTGCAGCTGGAGGGGATTGCCATGGCGGTCTCCATCCGTGACAGCTCTGGGCAGTGGGCAAGGCAGTCCCCAGAGAGACTGGGGTCTGCTTCTGGCTTTGGCTCTCTCTTGCTGTGGGACCCGGGAGGAAACCCTTTCCCCATCAGGGCCTCGGTTTCCACATTCGTGAATCAGCAGAGAAGGGTATCACCATCACCAAGTCTCTTGCCTCTTACCAACCTGAGCCTTGTATTCTAGAATCTAACGGGGGGGGAGGGCATCAGGAGGCCCTTGGAGAGCTCAACGGGCTTCCTGATTTCAAGACACATGTCGGTTGGCCAGTTTTGTTCCTCTTGTTCACCGAACACCTTCACCGCACTGTCCGTCCGTCACTCACTCGTCTGTCCGTCCATCCCTCCAGCGGTCGCTGGCCTTGCGAGCCTCAGAGGATAAACTAGATCTCATTCCTGATGTCCGGGAGCTCTGCCCAGGGAGGAAACGGGCCTCCAGAAAGCCGGAGAAGACCCGGTCAGCCAGACCCCAAGCCCCTGGGTGATGAACAAAGAAAGAAGGGGCAGGTCAGGGAGGGCTCTGTGGAAAGGGCTCAGAAAATTACACAGAATTTGTAAGGAAAGGGCTCACTTCACTTGAGCAGAGTCTCCAAGGCCAGCAGGGCTTTGGAAGACAGAGAGAGGAGTGGAAGAAAGGGCTCTGAGCGGAGCACCAAATTTATCCCAAGGCTGGGGTCCCGGGGTCCCGGGGTCCTGGGGTCCCGGCCGGCTGCAGCACAGTGGTTTGTGTGTGTCGGGGTGCTGGTGCTGTGGCATGGGGCCGCAGAGGGGCAGCCCCCCACGCCGGGGCTGGGGCCAGGCCTCTAGCACGAAGTCCGGGAGACAGGCCCTTGCCGGGGAGGGGGCGGGCAGCGCCCAGCTTCTGGAATGGCTCCGCTTCGGTGTGCCAGGTCAGCCGGAGGAGCCCAGGCGGGCAGAGCCTGCCGGTCAGTGAAGCTGGTGGGAGCTGCCGGGAAGGTTAGCTTGAAGCTCACTGTGCCCCCCTGGTCTGTCCCGCAGGACTTGCAGCGCTGTGCCCGGCCACGTCGGACCGCGGGAGCCACAGCCGTCTTCCCTCCTCGACCTCCTTCCCCTGACGCTCTCAGCAGCCTCGAGTCCTGGCCATCCGCAGAAGCCTTCGCAGGTGAGCGGGCCAGGCTGGCCCCTGCTGCGGCTCACACCAGCCGGCGTGGGTCCTGGGGAGCGGGCGGCCAGGCTGTCACCACTGAGGCACAAGGGGATGGGGCTCACCTCCTAGTTTTCGCTTCCTCCCTGGCCTCCTCCTCTCAGACGGAGCCAGACAGCGGAGGGGGGTTGCGCCCTGGGCTGGGACTTTGAGATTTGGATGTATTCTTTTGCCAAGTCCCCCGTAGCCTTAAGCAGGCCCGTGCTTCCGCTCCTGGCGGCCTCGGCCCTCTCATCTATACGTGAGAATAATAATGCTGGGTCTGCTGACATGCTGAGCATTTCACTGTGTGCCAGGCACCATGCTAAGTGCCGTGTAGCTATTAATTCCTTTCATCTGCACACCAACCTGTGAGGCGGGTGCCTGGTATCCTCTCCATTACATAGACAAGAAAACTGAGGCTTGTGGGTTGGGAAGTAACTTGCCCAAGGTCCCATGTCTGGCTGAGCCTCCCGTGGGGTTCACCTTTGGCTCTATATGGCCCCTAATCCTTGGACCATTCTGTCCCTGGCCTTGCCCACCTCTGCTAGCCTCTTCTTGGGGGGCAGGAACTGAAACAATCCCGGGGTCTTCAGAAGTGCTGAGTCCTAACCCAACTCGAGGCAAAGGGAGGGTCTTTTACAAGGTAAGTGTGGCTACAGATGTCTGGGGTCGTGACTCATTTGTGGATGTGATGTGACATGGACCAGGCCCGGCCTCTGGGGTCACCAAAGTGGCACCTATGGCCCCTTCTAGAGGAGGGGCATGTTGGCTGCGTAGGGTTCTCCCTCTCTTGGCTTCCCTAATTCAGTTTCCCTAGCTTGTACTAAGCAAGCTTAATACATGCCAGGCGTGATGTCAGGCCCCAGGATACAGGGGAAAGGGGCTCGTCTCATTCTGCGCTCCGGCGGAGAAGCAGGGAGATCACTGCAGATGTCGTGCGACCCCGTAGCAGTGGAGCAGACAGTGTTCAGAGGTTAGAGGGGGGCGTTCTGGGGGAGGTAACTCAACAGTGAGGAGCGTTGTGGGGAGACAGGAACAGGGGATAGGTAGGAGAGCCTGGCAGGATGGGGGATGAGGTTGGCAAGGGGATGGGAAGATTATAAAGGGCCACAAATGCCAGGCTGGAGAACTAGATCCCCAGGGCAGTGGGGAGCCACGGAGGGTTCTGAGTCAGGTAGGTACCTAATGAAGGTGGCTGCATTGGAGAGGCCATTGGAAAGACCCTGCTGGAAGCAGGGGGACTAGTGGGACTCTCCCAAGCCACACCAAGAGGTCAGATGCCTCAAGTAGGGCCAGAGCAAACGGGCACAGACAAGGAGTGAAAATATAAGACCCCAAGGCAGGGAAGTTGTCAGGATTGCAGTTGGCCAGGGTCGGGGGGTGGGGCATGAGGGTGGGAAAGGTGCCAGGATGTGGGATGGGGGTTAACGATAGAGTGAGCATAGGGAGTCTGGCATCCAGGAAGGCTTCTTGGAGGTGGTGGGCCAGGTATCTATGAGAGAGCCAAGATTTTCACGAGGAGGAGGATGATTTGAGTGGCACTAGAGTTACATGTGGGCTTCATGTTCTCATGCAGAAATATTGATACACACAGAAGTCCCAGAAGATTCTCCCCACCCACAGTCATACCCATAACCATGAATGCAAGTGCACACACACTCGTGCACACAGGTGCATACATGCTTACAAACCTGTCCATGCATGCTCAGGGGATACAGCTGTGCATGCACACCCGTACATGAATGGTCACGCGCACAGATGCACGCAGCAAGGTAGGAGGAGCACTCCCTCGCATGCATGTGTACACAGACATCACTCACGGGTGCTCCAAACATACACGCACGCACACAGATAGACTTGCATGCACATACGTGCTCGCAGACACACGTTCACAAACCGCATGGACTCCCCAGCAGAAAGGCACAAGCTCTCACAGCACACACATGCCCACACACGCTCAGGGATGCCTTCACGTGCACACACAAGGAGGGATGTGTTCCAAGGAGAAGTAGCTATTCAGGGATCGGTAGCTTCTCATCTGTCAAAGCTCCCAGGGCACAGGGAGTTGCGGGTTCTGCCTGGTGCGGGAGGTTAGCCCCTGTGTGGGGAGGAAATCTGGGAAGGACCTCCAGGAGACAGCCAGAAGGTGGGGAAAGATTTGCCGGGTTGCCGTGGAGGGACAGGGCGGACCAAGAGTAGAGCCTGGCTCTTGCAATGTCCCAGAGAAGTGAAAGTTCGTTCACTGGCCCTTCCCTCCTCCCCCAGTAAGCGTCCGTCAGAATTTAGTAGAATTGGGACCGGCTGCATGATTTGCCTAGTGCGAAACAAAAACGAGGGGCTCATTGTTCATAAATGATTACGGATTTCAAGACGATGGCGGCAGCACATGAAACCAAGAGTGAGTCCTTCTAAGCGTGGGGCCCCGTGCAGTTGCCCGTGAAGCCAGCCCTGCCCGTAATAGGGGTAATGGTCATGGGATTAAGCGCCAGGAACTGAGTTTGGATGCTGGCTCCACCAGTAGAGACCTCGGGCGTGTCCCCTGTCACCTGTGGGAGGCTCGTCTGCCAAGGGGAGAGATGCCGAGCTCTTCAGAGCAGTGCCGGCATCCACGTCGTCCCTGCAGCCCGTGACGGTGGCTTCGGTTAGGGTGGGATTACAGCCCCTCTGACAGGCAGTGCTGTTCAAGGATTCCCTGACCTCTGGCAGCCTAGTTCTTCTGTGCTTTGCCAAACCCACCACGGCAGGGGGCGGTGGGACAGTCTGCTCTGTGTTTTATTTGCGAATCTTCTGCCTGGTCGTCTTTTGCACACCCGTCTCTGCTTGGCAAACTCACTCCTGTAGGTCAGACGCCACGGGGCCTTCTCTGAGCCCGGCCTCTATCTCCCAACCTTTGCCCTGGGATCCCTCCAGGAGTCACCGTGACCTCGTGCACTGTAGACTTCTCTATCGTGTGCAAAGCCCTTGCACACTCCGGCAGGCCACTGAGCAAGCCCTGTAGAGGTCCTGTTCCCGTTTGCTAAACGGGGAACAGAGGCTAGTGCCTGGACCCAGGTCAGGTCCACAACAGGCAGAGGCGCAGACAGTGGCGACAGAGGGAGGTCGCTGGGCTCTTTTGGTATTTTGGAAGACTGGCTCTTCCCCCTGGTCAAGAGCTCCAGCCTCTGGTGGAGCTGGAGGTCTGGCCAGCTAGAGTAGACAAAGCCCCACCCCTCTTCCTCCCTGCGGGTGACTTGGCCCAGTCCCCACAGCCAGGCAGACTGGAGCCAGGTATATGTGGCTCCGGAGCTCGAGCGAGTCCCACATCAGGCAGAGAGGTGAGAGGGTCCCAGCTGGTCTGGGCCATACAGCCTACAAAGGGTGGACACAGAGAAAGGGTTTCTGGCCGGGGGCATGACAGCTGGTCCCACGTGGCCAGCACTCTGTAAAAGGTGCTCTGAACACCCGTGGTGGATGAAGGCAGAGGGCACTGACACGATCAAGGGTATGAACTCTGGGCCTCGGCTTTGGACCTAGCTCTGCCGCTCCTCTGTGATGCCAGATTAGTGGCTTAACCTCTCTGTGCTCATTTCCTCGGTGTTAACGTAGGGATAAGAATAGGACTTACCTCACTGCGTTGTGAGGAATCCAGGGAACTAAGCCATGTGAATCCTTGTGACGCTGCCTAGAACATGGCTAGCGCTCCACAGCATACGGCTTGATGGTGGGCGAGCAGCTGGAGGACGGTGACAGAGCTGACGCGAGTGCTGTGGACACATGGAGGAGGGTGGTGACATGGTTGGTGTCATTTAAGAAAGGACGTAGGGAGACAGCAGGATGGGGGTTGGGCTGGATTTGAGTTTCATGTGAGGTAATCGCAAACAGTTGTCGATCACACCTCTGTGGGCAGGGACCTGGGGTGACGGCCACACTCCCTGGCCGGCCCCTTCAGCCCTGGTTTGTGGCTTCATGCTGCCACCATGCATACCCATCCTCTGTCAGTCAGCAGACTTCCAGGGTTACGTGGTGCAAGACGGGTTCGGGGCTGGCTGCAGAGACCTTGAATGCCAAGCCCAGCTCACAGCGGGCCTGGCCAGGGCCATGCAGAGCTGGCATTCCAGGGTCCCCATGTGGCATGCCTGTCAGTCTTCAGCGCCAGCTGAGAATGCACACCCCACTCTCCTTGCCTGGAATTTGTTGCCTGCAGCCCAGGCCCCCCCCCCCCCCCCCCCCCAGCCTCTGCAACCCTGACCCCAGCCTGGAGCTGGAAATAGTTTACAGCCCCCTGATCATTCCTGCCGCAGGTGGGACACTCTCTGGGTCACCAGAGCGGGGCTACTGCCCTGGCAGGCTCTCTGGGCAGGACTTTGTTCAAGCCTCAGCCCTGCTCACACACCTTCTGTGTGACCTTGAAGCAGCTGCTGCCCTTCTCTGAGCAATTATTTATTGGGAAGTCAAACCAGAGGCCTGGGACAGGTCAGGGGTCACAAACTAATGATCTCAAGGGACTCAGCAACCCAGTGAAGCTGAGGTTATCGTGTTGTACAGATAAGGAAACTCAGAGCACAGAGAGGTTAAGAAGCATACCCAGGGTCACAGAGCTATTGGTACAGAGCTGGGATTCCGCCCAGTCTCATTTGACATTTTATTTGTATTTTCCCCACTCTGTCAATGTTTCTGAGTGATCTGTTCGCTCTGTCAGCCAGAGTGTGCTAAACATTTACCAGGCTCCCGTACTGTGCTAGGCGTTGGCATCCAAAAGTGAATCTGCGTTTGAGAAGCTGGGTAAGCACAGCCTTGGGCTTGGAGGTCACAGAGTCTCCAGGGCAGAGCACGCTTGGAGGGGGCCCCTGATGGGTGAAGGCAGTAGGAAACGGGAGGAGCAGCTCTTCCCTGACACTAGAGGAGGCAGGCCAGGGGACTGCCTGGAGGAGGAGGCTGGATCCTTACACAGAGGAGCGGAAGACTAAGGTCTTCCTGGGGTCTCCGCACAACTTGGC